CTACTACTACTAACTACTGCTAACTACTGCTAACTACTGCTAACTACTACTACTACTACTACTACTACTACTACTACTACTACTACTACTACTACTACTACTACTACTACTACTACTACTACTACTACTACTATTACACCCTCCTCTTCCTTCTCTTCTCTTCCTCCTCCTCCTCCTAGCGAACAGGGCCGGCGGCACCCGCCGCAAGGCCGTCGCAAGAGATCAAGAGCAGCCTCGGACCTCGAACCCCACCCCACTCGGCGGCGCCGGGGGGCCGCCCCACTCGGCGGCGTCGGGGGTTCCACCCCACTCGGCGGCGTTGGCCCTCGAGCCGCCCCACCCCGCTCGGCGGCGTCGGGGGCCGCTCCTGGAGCGCATCGCCGGCCGCGGCGCCGCTCCTGCAGGGGGGGGCCCTCGCTGGCTGCGAACGTCGTCGTCGGCGCCGCCGTCGCCGGCGCCGAGGTTTGGGCCTTCGGGAGAGCCCTCGGAGGGCCTTCGGAGGGCCGTCGGGAGGACCTTCGGGAGGGCCTTCGGAGGGCCTTCGGGAGGGCCTTCGGAGGGCCTTCGGAGGGCCTTTGAAGGGCCTTCGGGAGAGCCCTCGGAGGGCCTTCGGAGGGCCGTCGGGAGGACCTTCGGGAGGACCTCTGGAGACCTCTGGAGACCTCCGGAGGCCACCAAAAACAAATGGGGATTTTCGGACGTCGGCGGCGTCGTGGGCATCGCCGCCGTCGTCGATCGACCGCTGATCAACAGATCGAATTAACAATCTATCTGGCCGAAAACTGCGAGCGATCAGGGGAGGGAGAGGACCGAGGAGCCAGGAGCGACGAGAACCAGCGAGGAACGAAGATGAGGAGGCGCGAAGTGGAGAGGAGGAGAAGAGAGGGACCAGAGAGCGAGGCAGGGGTGGACAAGACGACGGGCGTTGCGGAGCAGGAGGACGCGCCGAGGGAAGGAGGGAAGGAGAGGCCCTCGGGGGAAGGGGGAGAGGGAGGGGCGGGAGAGGAAGGCGGAAGGCGTGGCAGCTGTAGGAGGCAGGAGGAGGAGGAGGAGGAAGAAGAGGAGGAGGACGAGGAAAGGAGGAGGAGGAGGAGGAAGGGGAGGAGGAGGTGAAGGAGGAGGAGGGGGAGGACGATGAGCAGAAGGGCCGGACCGACAGCAGCAGCAAGACTCGGCCCCAGGCAGCCCCACCTAATCGCGGACCCGGCTCCTCCTCCTCCTCCTCCTTCTCCTCCTTCCCTCCTCCTTCTCTCCTTTCTCCTCCTCCTTCTCTCCTCCTACCTCCTCCTCCTCCTCCCTCAACTCCTCCTCCTTCTCTCCTCCTCCTCCTCCTCCTCCTCCCCCCCCTCCCCCTCCCCCTCCCTCCTACCCCTCCTCCTCGTCCTCCTCCTCCTCCTCACTCCGCTTTCCTCCTCCTCCCTCCCCTGCTTTTCCTCCTCCTAGCTCCTACCTCCTCCCTCTCCTCCTCCTCCTCCCTTTTTCCTCCTTCTCCTCCCAAGCCCGGCACCGCACCCACGCGGCCTGCGCCCACGTGCTCTCGGCGCCCACCGCGCGCCGAGCGCGCGCGGCGTGGCAGCGGCCCCTCCCTCGACAGCGGGGCCCCGCCCGCTCTCGCAGGGGGGGCGCTCGGCCCCGCCGCCGGCCACCTCTCGTGGCCGTCATCGTCGTGGCCGTCGTCGTCGTCGTCGTCGTCGTCGTCGTCGTCGTCGTCGTCGTCGTCGTCGCCGTGATCGTCGTCGTCATCGTCGTCGTCGAAGTCCGCGTGGGCCTCTCGGATCGGCGCTGGACCCGCGGCAGCGCGCTCGGCGCCCGCGCGCGGAGCGAGCGCGGTGTGGCATTATATCCTCCCTCGACAGCGGCGCGGCCTCGCTCGCGCTCACCGCTGGGGGGCATCAGGGCCCTCCCTTCTTGCATGTGCGCGAGTCACGCTTGCTCGAGAGATGTGCCCCTGTGCGTCCCGCTCCTGGGCCGCACAAAGACGCACGCACTCGCACCGTGCCTGCGGAGAGGCGCGCGTCAACAGACGAACACGCAGCGCAGACATCCCTCGTGGTGTAAACATCGTCACCTGGGCGGCGTGGCCAGAAGCCGCCCCGCAAGGGCCGCCCAGGCCACAAGGGCGGCAGCGGCGACCGGGGCTGCAACGGCCGCCTCCTCCGACGGCGGCAAGGGCCGCCCGGGCGACAAGGGCGGCAACGGCGACAGGGGCTAAAGATTGTCCTGGGTTCGCGCGCGCCGCCCCTGTGGGGGGAGGCCCGCGCAGAGGTAGCAGAAGTACAGCCGGGCGATGCCGCGCTCCGAGGGAGCTCAGCACCTCCGCTGCCCCATGTTGTCCCCACGCCTCCCCCAGACCTACCCCACCCAGTCCCACGCTGCCCCACGCTGTCCCATGCTCTCCCATGCTGGCCCATGCTACCACCATCGTCATCACGACCATCATTATCATCATCATCATCATCATCATCATCATCATCATCATCATCATCATCATCATCATCATCATCATCATCATCATCACCATCATCAGCATCATCAGCATCATCATCAGCAGCATCAGCATCAGCATCAGCATCAGCATCAGCATCAGCATCAGCATCAGCATCATCATCATAATCACCATCATCATCATCATCATCATCATCATCATCATCATCATCATCATCATCATCATCATCATCATCATCATCATCATCATCATCATCATCATCATCACCGTCTTCAGCATCAGCATCAGCAGCAGCATCAGCAGCAGCATCAGCATCAGCATCACCATCATGATTCATCACTCATCATCATCATCATCATCATCATCATCATCATCAGCAGCAGCAGCAGCAGCAGCATCATCATCATCATCCCCCCTCTCCCAGAAGAAGAATTTGTCGGCGAGCGAAGGGGAAAATGGGAAGGAGAAAGCCTTCTCAGGAAGGCGGCGAGGGTTCTCGGAAGCCCTCGCGCCTTCCGAAAAGTCTTCTGCGCCGCAGAGAAAAGCTCAGAGTTGCCCGCGCGGGGGCGAGAGTTCCGTCCGAAACGAAGGGGCAGAGCCACGATCCTGCAGCGGGGGCACCACTTTGGAGGGAATGCCAAGGAATACCATGCAGGGACCAACGTCCGTCCAAACAGAACGGGTTCCATCCGAGAAGGAGTCTCCATCCCCACGGTGGGCTCTTCCGAGCCTTCTGAGCAGGCCCGCCCCTTCTCATTTCCCCACTCCCGCTCGCCGCCGAAGAGTGCAAAGGCGCACGCTTCCAGAGGTCCGCGGGGATCCCTCGCATCGTGCGCTGGGCTCCCCCACTGGGGGACGCCTCCGCGCGCCGGGGGGGGGGGGGGGGGGGCGTGCAGCGCCGGCCCGAGAAGCCCGCCCGGACCTGCGAGAGCTGACCCTTCGGGGCGCTTTTTGCTGTCAGCGCGCGCAGCGACGGCGGCGCCGGCGGCACGCTGTGCTTCGCGATCACCATCATCATCATCATCATCATCATCATCATCATCATCATCATCATCATCATCATCATCATCAGCATCAGCATCAGCATCAGCATCAGCATCAGCATCATCACCATCACCATCACCATCACCATCACCATCACCATCACCATCACCATCACAATCATCATCATCATCATCATCACCATCATCATCATCATCACCATCACCATCATCATCATCATCACCATCATCATACTGATCACCATCACCATCACCATCATCACCATCACAACCATCACCATCATCATCATCATCACCATCATCATCACATCATCATCATCACCATCAGCATCACCATCATCATCTCCATCATCAACATCAGCATCGTCGTCATCATTATCAGCATCATCATCATCAGCATCATCATCAGCATCCTCGTCCTCCTCCTCGTCGTCGTCGAGGAGGAAGAAGACGCTCGACGGTGCGGGAGGCCGGGAGAGGCTCGGGAGGCGGAGTGGCTGGGAGCCAGGACGTGGTGAGCGTGCTGCGCCGAGGCGGCGCCGTGGCGGAGCCCGGGCCGCCGACGACGACGACGACGACGATGACGACAACGACGACGACGACGACGACGACGACGACGACGACGACGACGACGACGACGTGGCGCCGGGCGGCCGGGCGGCCGCACGCCCATGTATGCTTGGGCCGACTCTCCTCCTCCTCCTCCTCCTCCTCCTCCTCCTCCTCCTCCTCCTCCTCCTCTTTCCTCCCCCTCCTCCCCTCCTCCTCCTCCTCCTCCTCCTCCTCCTCCTCTCCTCCTCCTCCTCCTCCGCCTCCTCCTCCTCCTCCTCCCCCTCCTCCTCCTCCTCTCCTCCTCCTATCCTCCCTCCTCCTCCTCCTCCTCCTCCTCCCTCATCCTCCTCCCTCCTCCCCCTCCTCCCCTCCCTCCTCCTCCCCCCCCTCCACCTCCCCCTCCGCCTCCTCCTCCTCCTCCTCCTCCTCCTCTCCTCCTCCTCCTCCTCCTCCTCCTCCTCCTCCTCCTCCCCCTCCTCCAACTCTGCGGCCCGGCCGCCTCTCCCGCCTCCGCTCGGCACAGTCGGTGCCACCTCCGACACGGGCGCGTGAGCGCCGAGATCCGAGGACGTGGTGTTGTCAATCCGCGGTCCCCAGGAGGCCCCAGACATGATGGCGTCGTAAAAAAAATTAGGACGGGAGGTTTTTCGCTATTTTCGGCCCCTGGGGGCCCTCGCCGGGCCTCGGGACCGTCAAAAAACGACTCGGGATGAAAAATCGGCCCCGGAGCAAGGGTCGGCATTTCCGGGGACGCCGTCCGGAAAAAACCAGGACGTCGCATGTCTGGGGGCCCGATCTCCGACCGACGACGTGTGGGATTTTTACGGGGCCCGCCGTTCCCTGAGAGCCCGGCGCTCGGAGAGCTCACGCAGCGGGGGTCCGCGCTGACGAGGGCCAGCCAATCCCCGCCGAGTTCCTCTGGTAGGGGGCCACATGCGAACCCTACCCCTACCCCCGACGACTTCTGAGGGGAAGGGTGGGGTTCACTTCGTTCTGGAGCTCCCGAGCGAAGTGAACCCCAGGCTCCCCCTCAGAAATCGTCGGGGGTAGGGGTAGGGTTCGCATGTGGCCCCCTATCTGGCTGACCGGGGGTAGGGAGGCACGTGTCATGGCGCCAACATCGCAGAGCGGACTTCGGTCGGAAAACGATAGGATGGGCGTGGAGACTCCTGGAGAATTTCGTTCCGGATTTCGAGGTGGAGTTCGTCCGGATTTTTTTCGGCCAGGAATGAAGCCTAACAAAACATCCGCGCGAACTTCGCTTCGTTCTTCGCTCGTCGCTTCGGGCAAACATCCACGCAGAAATCCGCGCAGAAATCCGCCGCAGCACGTCTGCAAGGCCGGTGCAGTGACACGTGGAGCCGACCCCGCCCGTCCTCGCTCCGCGGACCTGGGTCACCCGGGGGCCTGGTCCGCCCAGTCCGGGTTCGCGACATGGCCTTGTCGGACATGGGTCGGCGCCGACCCGGCTCGGTGCATCCCCGCGGCGTTGCGGTTGTTTCGCATCGGGCGTTCTGGCCAGGTTTCGGGCTCCGGGGCCATCCCGGATCGACGCCATCATGTCTGGGGAAGCGCGGCCGCCGCCGCGGGCTGCGCCGAGGGCCGCCGAGGGCCGCCGAAGGCCGCCGCCGAGGACCGCCGAGGGCCGCCGAGGGCGGCCGAGCAGGGGGTCTGGTCCTGGCAGGGCTGACGCCCTGCCGCGGCGCGGCGCCGGGGTGGTAGCCCTGACCGGGGAGGGAGGATGGAGGAAGGGGAAGGAGGGAGGGGGAAGGGGGGAGGAGGGGGAGGAGGAGGAGGAGGAGGAGGAGGAGGAGGAGGAGGAGGAGGAGGAGAGGAGGAGAGGAGGAGGGAGAGGAGAGAGAGGAGGGGAGGAGGAGGAGGGGGAGGAGGGGAAAAAGGAGGGAGGAGGAGGAGAAGGAGGACAAGCTAGGTGCGCTCGCGTCATATCTGACATCCTACCCCTCCCTCCCATCCCTTACCATGGCGTAGATCCCCTCTCTACTCGCACAGTCGGATGTCGAGCAGGGCAATGATCGCGAAAGGGTACGCGATGCATTGTAGAGCACGGCATGGCATGGCGTAGAAGAGCACCGCAAAGCGTAGTATCAACCTAGCATTGCATTGCATGCCGTGGCATGGCACGGGAAATGACGCCAGCGCTGCAGCGGGAGCACGAGCCGAAACGAGCGGAAGCGCGGAAATGAGGCCAGCGCTGCAGCGGGAGCACGATTCGAAACGAGCGGAAGCACGGAAATGAGGCCAGCGCTGCAGCGGGAGCACGATTCGGAACAGCGGGGCCCGAAAATGAGGCCGGCGCCTCAGCGAGAGCAGCATTTTGAACAAAATGCAAGCGAAAACCCAACTCCCAGGAATCCTGTGTGTAAAAAAACAGTACGCGGGGGGGTGCCGAATATCTTCCGGACGCCATCAGGGGAAGTGGGAGAGTATTTTCATATTGTGTAATTATGGAGGAGGAGGAGGAGG